CAAAGGAAAGCGTTCACTAAATTTTTCATCCATCTCGAAAATTCAAGAAAATTGGGTTTTTCATATTAAACAATCATTAATTTGTCAATGAAAGCCTGAATTTCCAAACTCATCGTGAAAATTGAACGTCACATAATTCAATTTTCCATCAACTAAGAATTCAGAAAAATTATTGCCTGAATTTTCAAGATTTTCCATTTTGAAAATAGAGAATTACTTGAATATTCAAGAAATTAACTGATTCGTCAATGAATAAATATACAGAAAATTCATGTAACTTTGTCGTTGTTAAAAATTTCAAGCTTTTTCACTGGAAATTACAAGAGCAATTTCCTAACAGTGTAACTCCTTTCATTTCTCTCGTATTAATAGAATAACATAGAATAACGCATTTACCTAAAAATATGTAGTCAATAAATTGTGAGGAGTTTTTCAAATATTTGGGGTTTAGTTTGAAGAGAATTTTCGGGGATTTTAGGGGTACGGGAGAGGGCGATGGGGCACTGTGGCACTTTATCGTGCGTGATCTCCAGTGGCAGTACGTCGACATGGAGAGCAGGGCTATAACCCCAAGGTGATATTATATTTCGCGGATTCGGCTTATTCTCGCTGGTGAATGCGGGATCTTGATCCCTGGGAAATTTTCACGTCGTAATTCACTGATGAAAACTCGGATTAAATAATTTCTCTGCAAGGGAATTGCAAACAAATTATTTTTTGTTCTATGAAAAATATTGTCGACGATTTCTAAGAAGAAATGTGAGATGTGTCATTGAGGCATGAAGGCCCGTGTCAATTGTTGTATTAGTAAACGCACACTGATTGGCTTGCGCCAGCAAAATAAACCCCCCCGGGTTGCCCACCTTTCTCGCTAATGTATCGAACTCCACCTTCCTGTTACGTCATTATTTCCATTGAGGACGGAGACCACCCTGTGGCCCATTGCGAGATCAAATAACGTACGGTTAGAATCGATTGAAACAGTAACCCGGTACTTAGGGACATTGAGCAAGCGGAGGAGCGAGGAAATCTCGGTACAAGTGGATGCACTTTTCTAGTTACTGTTTACCGGAGTTACACGAGAACGGGTTTTCTTCCTTCCGTTTCTGGTCAGCTTGGTTGGCGTTGGTGAATGTGAGACCACTCCTGCACTCGGACCCCATTAGACAAATATGAATATCGTTAAGAAGACGTTCACATAAAATGTAAAAAACTATTCATTTCATCTTTCATTTGCGTCTAGTCAATTATTTATTTCATTTTTTATTTGCGTTAATCTATACTGATATTCGTATTCGAGAAAATTGTTTACTAGTCTACTATCTTCGTATCACTTATCAATTGATTCGATGTGTCTAGTTTATTGTCGAGATTTAATTTGAGAAGTAAAAGTTGAAGGTCCACGATCTCCCATATATCCACGGTAGAAATTACCCGGTATTTGACCGTTGGAAAACGTCCCGTGTATCCAACGGTCAAAGTTACCGTGGAGCGTGTGAATAGACGCTGCCAACGGTATAAGTCAATTTTGACTATTGATCAGTTTTCAATGAATAAAACTCTTTCTGTTTTCTCTTTCTGTTTTTTTTTGTTTTCTCGGAATCTAAGGGAGATAGCGAAATTGTTGTTATAACATTTTTTGTAGAGCCGATTGAGTGCTACAACAAATGAAATTACAAAAATTTCGCTATCTCCCTTAGATTCGGAAATATTCCTCAAAAACTCAACTGGAAAATGAGTCGACTTAAATCGCTTTACCATTTCGCTACTGAAATAAATTTATAACGATTCCGAACAAATGATTTTTATGCTGGAAAATTGATTGTTTAGAAATTATTTATACAAATGCTCGTAGTTTTAAAAAACTGCAATTCTTTAATTATTTCATCATTTTTTCTCAAGTTTTTAAAAAGTTGTCTAACGGTTCAATATTGAAATTCAAATTTAGAGCTGCAAAGTTTAAATAAAAAAATCATTGTAAAATCATGGGACATTTAGGGTCAGATGGGGCTCAAATGAAAGCTCTGATGTTCGACTACAAAAGTAGAAAAGCATTTTCCTGGAGAAAAAATAGCCAAAGTACTAGGATATCCTCTGTACTTCTCCGGGGGGCGAAACGTAAGGGGAGTCTCATTGTTCTGCAGCCCTGACTCAATTCCCGAACGCGCATTTGAACATTTCTTGAATATTAATTTTTTTGTCAGATTGATTGATTTTTACGAGTGTCAAATTATTTTTATTGGATGTTTTTCTAATTACTGTTGGTCTAATTTGACACGAAAAATTGAGACGAGAATTTTTAACAGTGCGGAACATCACTGACAACTTTGTATGTTTCGTCATTACGCCGAACAGAACTTTTCTGGCGAATATGAGTTTGCAGCGGAAGGCGAGGAACTTTATAAACTTAAATAATAACTCCACATCGATGATTTTGTCTCCTGGATGCGTCTGAAATCCGCTGATTCAAATCGTCTTCGATTCCTTTTCCTGTTCCGTTGATACGTCAAATCAATTCACGACCTGCCCCACCGTTTAGCCTCTACCTAAGCAAATTTCGTCAAGTCGTGCAATAAAACTCATCGACATTCTTCATGAAGCAGCACGGGGTTTGATCCGGATATCGAGTTACAATTTCCCCTGTTATTATTTTCACTGGGCTCTCGCATCGCGGAAATCGAGTCATCAGCATGTCATTCTCGGGTGATTAATCCCCTTTTCAATTCTCTCGTTCTCACTTGATTCCACTGCTTCTCTTTCCCTCATTAGGGACTGAATAATAAGTCTTTTAGGATGATGAAGCGTGGAATTCGCGCATATGCCGCCTATCGCGTTTATTTTGCTACAACCTCAGTGGAGCACGTTTTGACTCCAGTACGTGCTCATAATCTTCGGTGCCACTTCAAGGTTGCAAAATTCATATTGACGTCTTCAGAAAAAAAAACATTCACTCGCTCTTTCCCATCAATTATCATACATCGGTTTTCTTCAGTCGCACCTGCAGAGGCATCGAATTTTACATGATTTTTTTCATTTTGATGTGAAAATTGAATGAAAATATACTGGAGATTTTTTCTTGTCCTATTTATTTAGTTCTATATTAATGATGCATTCCTACGATATCAACAATTGCTCAAAATATTAAAATAAGTACCAAATATTTAATGATCAAATAACAAATTCTCCATAAAAAAAAATTTTTTTTTTGTATAAAAAAATTGATACTCAATATTTTCTGCAGGAAATAAAACATTTTTTAGTCGAGGAGTTGATCAGTAAATATTTGTTTCATCTTTAATGATAACGAAGGATTTGATGATAACTCGTTTGCAATAAGATGAACTATCATAAAAAAATGATGAAAATTTCCATCTGACTAGAGTTTCACCATTTCATTCTTTACAAAAATGTTTTTACAATTCGATTTTTTTTCTTGATGAGTCTTTTATGAGAAAAATATTGAGTCTCACTTTTATTAGAAACTTCATAAGCCTCAAAATATTCAATAACCAATGAATCAATTCCCCGCAAAAAAAAAAAACTTTGCATGAAAAAAATATCAATAAAATCCCAATGCTCAACATTTTCTCACTGCTCTTCACACGATCGCGTGATAAAAAACATGCGCAAGAATAAAATGTTTCTCGAATTACTTGAAACGGAAGAAATGACTCATGATGGAATGTAGAGCAGTCCAACAGTTTTTGAGATAAGAAAAGACGCCACTGGACGTCGTGTGTCTAGGGAATGCGTATTGGGGGGTCCCAATAATCCGTTGGTGTATTGCTTTCGTCCCAGGTATATTCAAAAAACGCCCAGGTATACTCAAAAAACGAACGAGAGGGGGGGGGGGGCTCAGAGCTCTGAGNCAGGTAAAACGATGTCAAACCATGTTAATGGAGTACTCGTGTCTCGTGGAGGAAAAAAAAGTCGGAAAACCCGAGGCACGCGCCCGCATTGGTAGGCTCGAACTCCGGAGTTCCGGTCTCCTGCGAGAGAGGGTACACACTCACTTCCGGCTGAATTCTCGCTCGTGCCCATCGACCACGAGGGGTCATCCTCCGGAGGACAAATCGGAATTCGCAGGGAATGTTAACATCCTTTCGTTCAATTGAGTGCGAAAAAATCAGAAGAATTAAAAATACACGGAGAAAATTATTGGAGACATACAGAAAAACCTAAACGGAAATGACGTTTAAGATGTCGTCTTTTACGTTTTCTGAAGCAGATTTTACAGAGTTTACATGAAGTCGAAGCGTAAGTTACGTTCAAAATCGCCGTGAATTGCGATTACATAAACGTAATTTAACATTGCATATTCGTAAATTGTGATGATTTTTTTCACACTCTATTTTTACTTCTCCGTAATTAACGACAATGAAAAAAAAGGTATTTCAAGCGTAAAATACCATGTTTTTTTTTGTAAATTACGCATAAGTAAATGGTAAGGACGTTTTGTTTGGGCGTAATTTACGTTTTTCTTTTGAAATTTTTCAAATTCAAATTGTCAGCCTAATCTTTCTCCACTGACTCGGGAAAATTTACCAAACGTGGATGTAATTTGTGCCGAAATTGTAAAATTTATCATTTATTTCATCAAACATCACTCCATGAACGTGAATAATTTTTTTTTTTCATTCCAAAAGCGGAACGGTAAGATTTTCCTTTCGTCCGTCCCGATTTTGCACCCGCAGATGTATTTTCTATTCACTGAACGAATCGTAAGGTATCCTCTGCAAAAATTATTTTCTACCGAATTACAATTTCGCAGGATTACCTTCCGTATAATATAAAATTTGCCGCGATCTTTTAGATCATTTTTATCCAACTCTCCTCTCCATCTAAAAGTTGGATTGAATCGTGAAACCAGACACGAACAGGCCTGGCAATTCCCCAGAGGGTGGGCGTCCGCCAGACACTCCTTCCTTCACTGGAAATGGAGATCATTCTTTCGAGTCGTAGAAAAAAAAATCATATTGAGGAAATTTCTCGTGTTGCAGTTCGTCGTTGTATCGCACGATGAACGCAGTAGCCACGATGGGCGGCGGAACAGGTGGAACTGGTGGGTATACTCTTCCCTACATGAGTGCCAGCGCAGCGGAACTAGCGGGATCCCCTCAACAACTGTGGAGTACTCAAGGTAAATAGTGAAAAGTGAGAGTGAGGGGTGGGATAAGACGAGTTTGAATAGTGATGCAGATTCTTCTGTGCTTATCAGCAAATAAGATTCCATTCAGGAATGATTTTTCCTGTTTTCAACACTGAAATAGTAATTTGCATTGGGAGATGCAAGAAACAGTCCAAGAGAGGACATTTCATTCATGAGAAAACAATGACATTCAACATTCTTCAACATTTTAAAAAATATCTATGACACGAAGGAGGTTGGGGATTTTTTTGAGACATCTTTTGACGTTTATGATAACTTGATAGTTTACAGATATTTGTTGGATGATCTCTCGAAAATTTAATGCATAAATAATTCCTTGGCATTTTTGATCAAATGGTTGATTTATAATTCCGTTCACTGTAAGACATTCTTCGATATTTTTCAGTTAACATTTTGTTCAAAAATGTTGAAAATTTTGAAAATATTAAGACTGAGGATATCCATAGATATAATAAAACTTTAAATTAAGGGTCATCAGGGTCAGAATAAGGATCACGGGGGTCACATGGGGGTTGGCGAGCCGAGGGAGCAGGGGGCATAGCCCCCTAGTATAAAGTAAAAATCCCCGATATCACTAATGCCTGAAATGAAATTCGTCATTGAAAGCCGCGTAATTCCCAATCTCAACCCAAAAATTCACCAGGTTTAGGTGGTGGTCTACCAACCCTCGCGGAGGAGTACGGTAGCAGCAAGTCGACCCCCGCGGCGACGCACCAGACGCTACCTGCATTCTCTCAGCCCTTTGGCAGTCGCCCCAGCTTCCGGGGGTACTCGGCATACTCCTCCCCGCAGACAACCGCGGGCACGGGCACAACAACAGCCAGCGATGTCTCATGGCCCTATCCCACACCCTCCAGTGATTCTCTCTCGGCGTCTTACGGAAGCGTCGCGACGCCCGCGAGACGTCAGGGTACAAATACCTCAAACTCACATCCACAGTTGAGCGCAGCTGCCAGCCTCTCAGCCAGTGAGTATTTTCAATCATTTATTCACCGTTTAATTCATTGCCCGAAGAGTTTTCAATTATTTTGAGGATTTATTTACTTGTTTTTTAATGGAATAGTCAAGTGTTTGAATGGAGCAGAAAATTGTTGATGAACATGAAGTTATCTTGATGATGAGTAATTTTGTGGGAGAAAATTGAATTCTTTGTCGTCGAATAGTTAATGAGAACGAGAATATTTTTTACGTGGATACGTCTGGATAATGTTTTCATTATCGGGGGGCATTTGGGGAAAAAGTCCTTATGGTTCCTTATCCGCAGTGGCGCCATCTAAAATTCTAGATTTTTCTAGCAAATTCCAGATTTTTCTAGAAAATTCGCCAGTGTTTTTTAGAAATAAATTACAGTTGTGAAGGATTCGTGTTAAAATTCGCAAGGGCGTTTGTATGTAATGATTTCGATGTGAATTAAATATGTTGAACATTTGTTTAGGGATTTTGGTTGTGCATAACAATTCAATCGTATCGTGTTATCATGACGAGACGATGCGTAATCCCGAATTGTTCTAACATACTATGATGTTCAGTGAAGGAAAGGGAAGACCACAGACGTATCGACGTAAAATTACAGCTGAATCAAAGATACAGCCAACCGCAGATTTTTACTGTACTGTATACTGTATTGATAAAGGCGGAATTGTGTTGATGATGAATGATTCTAGGAGAAAATGTTCAAATGTTACGCTTTACTCGTTTGCAAGACAAATCGTAAGAAATTGATAAAAATTTTAATTTTCCATGAAGGTTCACTATTTTCTACAATTTTTTGGCCGAAGGAAATCAACAGACGAATTTCTCACAGAAAATGTATTGTCATTATTCTTTTTAATTGAATAGTTAAGTAATAGAAAAGTCTTGATGAACATGAAATCTTTTCTTGACGAGTAATTTTAGGATAAAAATGGTGGGAATATTTTTCTTGGAAATTTCATCTTGATGAATGCAGAATTCCCTCAATAATGGCGAGGAATTTTGGGAGAAAAATGCTGACACAATTTTTATTGGGAGAATGTCCCCAGCTGCACGAAAAGTATTCTTACACTTTCTCCCAGAATCACTCGTTTCCAAGATAAATAATCATCAACAATTCATAAAAATTTCCACCTCGATTCATCACTTCATTCTGCACCCAATTGTTTTGATCGCATTGGCACAAATATTCAGTTATTTAAAAGTAATCAGTGATGTTTGGAGTAATTTTCCTCGGAATCAACAAATATTTATTGGTCATCCACGAATAATTCGCCTCATCGAGGAGTCACGTACAACGAGAAAAAGTGCGAACCCCTCACGTTTCGCGATTGCGGAATCTAGAGATTCGTGACAACCACTCGCGTTCCGCAAGCAGTCGCCGCGTGGCCTTGAGTGATATCAACGCTCGAGATAAATGACAAATTCTTCGGCATTAATGACAAATAAAGAGTAAAAAACCGAGTGGGTATGTTTCCTCGTGCCTTCTCCTTCGGGATCCTTTGACTTTTGAGGATCTGGCCGGCGGCTTTTACTTTCTTTGAGGGTGAGCCTTGCGGACAGACACGGGGGTGGTCGGAGATTTGAAGATACGCAGATGACTCGGGGGGTCCTGGGTGGCTCTAATTGCTCGCGTGGGGATCGTCACTGTTTGGGGAAAGGGGGTGGGACTGTAATGGAGACAGACACATAAATTCACTGCGCGGAGGAAAACGGGGGAGATATTATCAAACAAGTCAAGTAATCCTGTAGCGGAATCCATTTTTACCAATTGGTTTTGGCCAATTGGTTTCTGAATAACAGGGTTTCCATACCAGAAATAAATACATGAGTTGTTCTTTTTGCATTGTCTACTCTGTTATGAATAGAGAACGAAAATAGTTGATGAAATTTTTTTCCCTGGATTTTTAGTTGGAAATTTGTGATTTTAGGAGAACAACCCTTTCTTGTACCCATTTTTTATCATCAATTTGTTAATTAAATTGGATGAGAAAATTTTGAAAAAAAATCAAGATTGCATATTACACAGCATTGTTATTTTTTAACTATCGTTGTTTATAAATTCATAATTAAAATTGTTTCAACTTTCGGACGCCTAATTTTTTAGACATGAAATCAATTTTTGGTAAAAGTCTGAATATGAATAATTGCTTTTTAAATAAATTATTTACAAAAAATGCTTGTAATTTTCAAGAATTTCAATTTTTTAATTATTTTCTGATTGATTGATTGATTGAATTGTCAAAATTATTGTAAAATGTCCGGAAACTTAGGGTTAAATGGGGCTCAAATGAGCATTTCAATGGAGAAAAAATCGCCAAAGTACTTGGATATCCTTAACAATATTTTCCGCAGAAAATATCTTCAAATTTCCTGCTAGAATCACCAATTGAAAAACAATTGACGCCTTCAAATTTTGTTTCCTGTTTTTAAACTTCAAACATCATCAAATCACGTGCTCGAAAAAATCGTTTACTTCTGCTATTGGATGACTATCTCTCACTGACATACATCAAAAGTGCCCGTATGACTTTTAATGTCTCACGATCTTCCCTCGTGTAATTTCCAAACCGTAAATATAAAACGGAATCGTAGGAGGTCAAAGAGAACAGCCCGCTGTAACGAATCGTTTGGGTTTGCTCGATGTAGAGGAAAAACATGAAAGTGTGAGAGATCATATTTCGCCCATAAATTCTGGGCACCGAGGGTAATCCCACATCCCAAACGTTTCCGAATGACAAAAAAGCTCCACTGATCGATTTCGATACTCCGTCAAAAAGAAATGTCTGTAATCTTTCATCTCTGTGATTTCTTTAATTTAATTAATTAGGCACACGGAAAAAAAATCGTTTATAGGGATATATTCGAAGTATTTAGGAATTAATTTCAATTTTTTGGGATTCAATAACTCAATTGGTGGCAAAACAAATTGATTTTCGATTTTTTCTCTCGTTAAATTCAAGAATGCTGAAACTAGAAATTTTTAGCTGAAATTTGCGGTACATTTGGAGAAAATGTTTATCGCATTATAGTTCCACTGAAATTTCAAAGAATTTCATAATTGATTTGATAATTTTATTAATATTTTTTATTTTATCAAAAGTCAGGTGAATATGTTCTTGAATTTTCAATTAATGATAAATTTAACGGAATATGGTACTAAATATGTGATGTTTTTATCGAAAATTCAAGCAAGTTGAGGAATCCTCGTGTTTTCTGCTGCTAAAATTTCGATGAATTTTCAACGAAATCTTCAAGTCTATAATTTTTCCCAAAATTTCTCCTAAAAATGCCTAGTCAACAGTCCAATTCAATTTTTGTACCACTATTTACGAGTGAACATCAATAATTAATCCGCCACAATCCACCTGACGAAAAAATTCAGCAGTTTATCGCATCCGAAAAGAATAATTTTGCCCCTATCAGCGAATATTTATCAGTACGGGTCAGCGACTGTCGAGGGGCTGAGAAATAATGTATCATTCCGAAGTGGGAAGCCGCGATAACTGCCATACCCACACAATAAGAGATCATCTCCAAGTTGCGGAAAAGCAACGAGTGAAGGTTCTCCACATTAAAAATGTCAGATTCTTCAAAACCAAAGTATCAAGAAAATTATCTTAATTCGAATTGATTTGATTAGAAGCAATAAAGTAAATTTTTGTTGATTGAGATGAAACAAGTGGGGAAGAGATATCCCAAACCCTGACCTAGACTTTGACGTAGGTGTAATCGAGTTGTGTCTACGAGTGATACGCACCAACGATTAGAGCTTTGTATCTATCCCACAACGATAAATTGGGTATTTCAACGTCGACGACACCTAAGTATCTAATCTACACTTTTGTGATACCCATGCTGTGGTTTTGTTTGGATTCGTAACCACCAGATTGACGTAATAATTTGCATAATGGGACAGTTGCTGGGCTTTTGTCGGAATTATTCTTGCATTTGATACATTCACTGTTTTGATTCATTTCGGATGAGATGAAGTGGAGATACAATCGGAGTGGATCACGTAAGGGAGATTATTTCGGGCTTGACCCCAGTGAACTTTGGGTAAAGTCCCCCTTCGATGAGAAGACACTCTTATCGTTTTTAAAAATGGCATTGGCACTGAAAAATATGGGTATTGAGAAATTAAATGAGTATTATCATTTTTTTTAATGCAAGAGAAGTATTTTTATGAATGAGAGAAAGATAGTTAGTTTCGATGTTTCGAAATCGTGTGGATCGTGAATTCATTATAGTTTTGTAAAACTGTGAAGTGCTCGTTAATATTTAGTTTTTTTAATTTTGATCAGCTGCTCCAGATACACTTTTTTCTTAATCGAACAAATGGGTTTACTGTTACGACAAAATTGTGGGGTCCCAGAATTCATTGGATGTTCAATGAAATTCAAAATTTTTTAGCAAGAAGACAAGAATTCTTTAACTTAGTGATGCTAGATTTTCAATTAATTGAAAGTTTGATCAACCTTTATTGAATAATTGAACTAAAATTCGCAGTTTTCCCTGTTTTCTTCATAAAATTTTCAATTTTCAGTGACGAAATTTCAGTGAAACTATAATTTGATAACAATTTCCAAGAATTGTACCAGAAATTTTACCCAAAAATAGTCGACAGTATTCAGTTAAAGAGCTACAGTTATTTGCATTTTAAAAAATGTCTCCAGGATCGAAATAAAAAATTTGTTAGTTAGAAACTGAATCATTCTTTAGACGATTGAGAGAACAAAATTCATTGCCATGTAATAGCCCGTCATTTGGAGGGATCATGGAAGAAAATTATGACTGAAAATTTCCTTTTTTCCATCTGCAACCACAAAATTGAAACCCCTCAACTGTTCCTTTTAACGTACCGCCGTTCTCAAGTGAATTCAAGTACCCCGGCAGCAGTTCCCGCGCCCCCTCTGCACCTTCAGCCACGTGGCCCTCTCCCCCACCCCCAAATAATGTCCCACACCCTCTGACAAATCCCCCGAGCCCATTAAAACAAAAAAATCCCTGCACAGGGTTCATCGAATTATTTCTCGTCCATGACTGCACATTCCTCGTTCCCGGCGTCGAGGCGGCGCGGGAGCGCAATACGAACCCATTCGCTCTTCCACGTCTTCAGTTATGCTTACATAATATCCGATTGCGTACCAGTGAAGATCCTTCGAGTATCCTAGTATTTTAAATGCATCAGTACAGCAATATGATACGACTCTTATCAAACATTACCACTTCCTGTCTTTCATTGTTTCTCAGATTTATATGAATAACATATGAAAAATAAACCTTTGTTTGTTGTGGGAAAGGGTTGGAGCGCTTCTCGAAGCGAGAGTTCCGTCCCTGATTGATCCAAGGACACAAAATTCATCGCGTTTTAAGGATTTCTTGTCGAGCAAGGGAATTTTGCATTTTTTGGACAATTTTTTATTGAGAGGGAGTACAAAGACAGGAAGTGGATTCAATTTCATCGAGTTATGAGTATTTCCCTAGTTGTCACAGATAATCTCACTGATTTTTTGAAGTGAAAAAATTGTCCTCGAATAGAAGAACAACCTCCGACCCAAGAAAATGTCGTGTACTGTATGAAAATATTTGTTATTCCAATCTTTATTGTTATTTTACAGCGATTTTTTTATGACTCTCCACACAAATGTTGAAGAATCCCAGATTTTTGTCTTGCAAAATTCACTTTTCATGTTTTTTCCCTGCATGTTGATTTTCATTTCAATTTGATATTTTTTTATGGTTTATGATGGCCACTGGATGGACAGTGAATGACACAAATATTTTACACATCGACATAGTTTTGGGCTGACTCCGGAAGATCTTTTATTCAAATGGGGAGGAAAAGAATTCAATTTCATAAAATTAATGTCACGAGTGTCCCAAATAATTCAAAAAATTATTCTCAAAGAAAAAATGCTCTCAATCCAAGAAAGCTTTGTCAATCGTAAGAATAGAATATTTGTTACGAAAATATTTATTGCTATTTTATAGTGATTTTTAATTGACTCTGCACACGTGTGTTGAAAAATTCTAGATTTTTATCCTTCTTTTCATGTTTTTTCCCGGAAATTTTGTTTTCATTTCATTTCAATAATTCTCTATATTTCCCGGGTCATCACAATCAACCTCACAAATTTTTCCAAATAAAAAATTGTTCTCAACCCAAGAAAAGTTTGCGAACGGTAAAAATAGAATATTTGTTATTCCAATATTTAATGCTATTTTACAGTGATTTTTTACGGTTCTGTAAACAAGTGTCGAAAAATCCCAGATTTTTATCCTGCAAAAATCCTCTTTTCATCTTTTTCCCCTGAATTTTTATTTTCATTCCGTTTTGATAATTCTCTATGGTCTCCAGGGCCACAAATATCGGAATATTTTGCCAAAACATTTCCCTAGTCACCACAATCACCCTCCCAAACTTCTCAAAATGAAAAATTGTTCTCAAATTTAAAAAATCCCTCAATCCACGAAAACTTTGCGAACCGTAAGAATAGACTATTTGTTGCTCCAATCTTTATTGCAATTTTACCATGATTTTTTACGACTCTGCCCACTAAAGTCGAGGAATCCCGCATTTTATCCTACAAACATACTCTTTTCATGTTTTTTCCTCCATTTTTACTTCCATTTCATTTCGATAATTCTGCATGGTCTCCATTGGCCACTGGACAGGTAGTGAATTTTATTTTTTCTGTTCTCTGGAATAATTTCGAACGGGGACATGGAGTTCCCGGGGCACTTGTGACACTATCGGTAATCGCCGGAAGCTGATGATAACGCCATGTCCGCTCGCCACCCCCTTCAGCCCCCCTCCCCCGCCCTCTCCTCACCTACTCGCCCCGTTGGTACAATACCCCCCCCGGGTTTGTCACTCCGTTAGCTTTTCTACCACTTATTTTCCTCTCTTGATATTTTAAACGTTCCCGTTAAACTTCCTGCCCACGCAAATATTTTACTGGAGACGAAAACACGGGTTTTACGGGCTTTGAACAATGCCAAGGTCGAATATCGTCAGGCTCCTTTCAAAGGAGTTCTTTGGGATAATTCAGAATTATTCTAGACAATGGAGTGACGTCAGGTTTATGATTTAAACGTGTTCTTGAATAACTGACGTGCATTGGAAGGTGAACACATGTTTTTAGAATTTTTTCAAAGCATTAGAAAAATTGAAGTCATTAAAAATCGATAATTCGGCCTTAGGCGAGTTTTAGAAATTTCTTGAATGACTGTAATGCGGAGGAAATACAGACACGTGCTAATGGCTTACAAATTAAGTTTTAATTGGAAGAGCTGTAGGAAAATTACATTTTTTTTGTTGGAAATTCTCTCGACTACGAAATGAATTGCTGATGTTTTTCGGTGATTTAAACACTTGTTTCGTTGCTAGGTCTCATCTATTCAAGCGGAGTTGATTTATTTATTTATTTATTATTAATTGAATTAAAATGTATTCTCACGTTTCATGCACGTGTTGAGATTCTCCCGTGATTGTCACGTATCGCGGAGAACTGGAGACAATAATTATGTTTTTCAGTCTGTCGGACACGACTTGAACAAAAAAAAGAGGCCACGATATCACATGAAGTGTTCATTAATTCAAAACCCATACTCGTGCACGTGACTCACTCCTCTGCGCCAATGCATCGAAACAGTAAACAAACAAGCGTCGTGTCTCATTATTGAAAACAATAATTCTTGAGTGATAGGGCATACGTGGGAGGGAGGCAAAAGTTTGCGAGTTGATTGCAATCGTGAATTGGGAAAGGAAAATATTAATCGGACTGTTGGAAATATTCTTGGATTTAAGTAGCAGCTGCCTGGGAATTCTAATTGCTATAACAGTGAATTGAATTCAATGGGAATTTTTTATTTTATGTTCTGTGATTATTGATGTTGCGATGACGGCTTTAATTTCAATATTTTTAAATTATTTTCGTTGGTTTATGCAGCTAAAGGTTTCAATTGCCAGGGAATTTCTGTTTAACAAGGAATAATTCATAGAAAATTTTCATAAATTTTAATTTTCATTTTGGTAGTGAATAAGTTATTTGTTGGAAAATTTAGTTAAAATTACTTTAAATGTGGAAATTCAGATTAATTTTCGATCTTTCAAAGATTTTCGTTATTTTTTGGACTCAGACGTTCAAATTTCCTGTAAATTTCTAGAAATCCATTTCTCAAGTCCATGCGATATTTTAATTATTGAAAATTGTAAAAATTCAGGCACCCATTCTTTCGATCCATTACCCGGAACAATGGAATGAGATATTCAATGTTCACAATGAGTTTCAAAATTCAAGCGGCCATTAAAAAAATCATCAACATAAAATAATTCATAATCCAAAATGAATGACAAATTCCATGACCGAGTTGACCTCAAATCGAATTCAAATTCACAGCATTGAACGTTCACATGAAAATATAACCCCGAGGGCACTGAACACACGAATGAAAAGTTTTAATTCTATATCAAATATATTTTCTCATGGATATCGCTTCACGAGGGAACTTGAATTTCAAAGAATTCAATTTCAATTTTTAAACAATGTACGAAAATTCAGTAGCGAAGCGATAAAACGGTTCAAGTCGACTTATATCTCCGAATCTAAGAGAGATAACGAAATTTTCGTGAGAACCTTTTTTATAGAGCGCGTTGAGGGCTACAAAAAAGTTCATGACGGAAATTTTGCTATTCCCCTTAGATTCCGAGATACTCAATGAAAACTGGCCACTGATCAAAATCGACGTGAACCGTTTTACCGGTTCGCTACTGAATTTCAACTGCTAAGAAGGAATTTTGGAAAATTTCAAAAGCAACTCTCAAACAGTTCACGTCAGGAATATCTTTATAAACACGAAAAAAATATAAAAAAATGCAGTGAACATCGAGGCGGAATACTTTACGGAGGGTCGTGAGTGCGTGAACTGTGGTGCGATATCGACCCCACTGTGGCGACGAGACGGCACGGGACATTATCTGTGCAACGCCTGCGGCCTTTACCACAAGATGAACGGAATGAATCGGCCCCTGGTCAAGCAACCACGGCGACTGGTAAGCAAAGGCCCGGTCAACCAAAAGAAAAGCCCTGATAACAATCGAGCCGATTAACAAATCGTTTAATCCTCGATTAATCGGACTACTTGATTGACCGTGATTTTCCACGGGATCAAACAAAAAAAATTAATAAGACCAGGAGCCTGTGTGGAGATTCGCCCGTGTTTGCCTGTCGTCCCATGTTCCGCCCAATTTTGATTTTTTATTCTCATTTTGAAGGATCAAGATTAGATGAAAAAAAAAGTGGAGAATAGATGACCCTTAACGTTTGGCCTAATGTCTGTTTCAGTGGCGGACCCGGGCGAATACTACAAAGGCTTCTATGGGTATAGTGGCGCCCGTCGCGCCCTCGAGGAGAAATCGACCCGCCGCTTGGTAGGTGTCATCAAAAACCTCGCTGTCAGCATTATCTTTATTTTCAAAACATCATCTTTCTTCTATTCACTGTTAATCTGTCACTGTTGACTACTTAATTGACATATTTTCCTTTCTGGGTCAGAGGTTTTCGCAACACATTTTCAAAGTTTGATATGTCACTCCTAATCATGTCTAACATCATCTGTGTTATGAGTTGATGACGGTAGATTGGCCCAGGCGTTCTTCAGAAGTTTGACAATTAATGAGTAGTAAAATTTACGAAAGAAATTCCTGGGGGTGTTTTTCATTCTTTAAAAATTTGGCAAAACTATCAAAGTTAAATAAAATCATCCATCAATTGTCAAATTGCTGAAGACCGCCAGACAAATCTACAGTCATAACACCTCAGTTCGAAGGAGATTTGTTTGGACGTGTGTGAAACATCTAATACTCAAATCAATTTTATCATGAAAATTGAATACGAAGTTCGAGAGAATCCATTCGAATTTCAAGCCAATCAACCTTTCTATCAGTGTAATCACGGTCATCGATCACTCACATTAATCAAGTGCTTTCATCCACTCATGGGATTGCATTCACCATTGCTTCCCTATGTATTCATGAGCAATATTCTTTCGTAGCTTGAGGTGCCACTATACCCATGGTATACCACTCTCATTCTTGAAGTCACGCCTGGTACCGAAAATCAAAATTATTATTATTTACTATAAAATTAACAATTAATACCTCGAACTCAATATTTTTGGCTGCTCTTTCAGGCGTGACTTCGCGACCGGGTGACTCTCTTAACCGAAAAATAAAAATCGTCAAATTAAAATAAATTTCTTCTTTCTCCAGTCGGCATCGAGACGCGTTGGACTGTCCTGCAGCAACTGCCAGACAACGATAACATCCCTCTGGCGCAGGAATAGCTGTGGTGAGCCTGTGTGCAATGCCTGTGGACTCTACTACAAGCTACATGCGATCAACAGGCCGCTGTCCATGAAGAAGGACAACATTCAGACGCGCAAGCGAAAACCAAAGGGCGGAATGAAGTCCTCTGACACACCACTCTCTAATAATGGACTCACTTGTGCTGTTACCATTAAGAGGAATAATAATAACAACAATTTGAAAATGGAATCTGGTGAGAAGAATTGTTGACGACATTTTCATTTATTTTATCGTCTTGTCTTCTCAGAACTGCATAGTTCAGGATAAACACGAATTTCCATTGATTTGTTCTGATTAACATTGATTATTTTTCCCAATCGGATTTCGACCAATCAGAGCGCAGTATTTGAGACTACCCGACAGTTTTATTTCGGATATTTCCTCCTAGCTTTTGAATATTTGACAGTAGTTCTTCATTTTTTTTACTTGAATATTTCGCAGTAGCTCTTCATTTTTTTGGCTCATTTCAAATAGAATCTTATATTTGACAGTCTATGGAAATCGGGTTATTCTATTGACATAATTTGTTCAAATCTTTCCCAATTCACCTCCGGATGTCGTCCACTGCATTCTGCTTGGCCAAAATCCGATTGGGAAAAATAGTCCGACAAATACCCCTCGAGATTCAAAATTAATTGGGTATTTCCCTCAAGCTCCCCTGCCAACAAACCATCGTGTCAAGTTTTGCAGAAATATCCCTCGCGCAAGCGCTCGGGATTTTTTAGCCTGCAAAACTTGATACCCTCATTCGTTTGCAACGAAGCTATCCGGAAATAGCCGATAATTTTGAAGCTCTTGGGGTATCACTACTGAATATTCATGTTAAATTCGCAGTGAAACTGGATCTAAACTTATCAACAGTATAATAGTAAGCAGCCAATATTCACGGTTTAATTTAGGTCCTTTGGTCGTTAAATCATTCAATTCTGAAAATTTTCAAGGGGATAATTGCATGAAAGAGAGAGATTCATCAACTCAAAATGAAATGGCTAAATCACTCCACGAATTTGGTAGCATGTCATGTCACATTGCTATTTTTTATAATTTTCTTTTTTTCCTCCTATCTTAGACTAGACGCGAATTGCGGTATGTTTAACAACTAAGTTTCGAGACCAAATGTTCATTTGCAATGGGGTTATGTATCCCATAATGCAGAAATGAATAATAATGATACTTTTCTTTACTTTGAGTTCTCTTCAAGTTTACCATTTACCATTTATTAATCAATTCCTCTCGTCGTTGTTTTCCAGACAATTACGATCTTCGAATGGCCCACACCAACGTCACCCAACCATCCTACCCGAGTACCCTCTACGGAGAGAATCCCCAAGTGAGCAGAATAGTGTCATCCTATCAATCGAATCCGAGCGTCTACTACGACATGTTGGCAACTCAGCAGCAACAGGCCCAGCAGCATCTCCTAGACTGTCACTCGCCGAAGGTCGAGTGCCCCTCGCCACCACGAGGCTCACCACTGATCTCAGCTAATCACTCCCCCGATCACCATCTCACATCCCCCCACATTGTAAATCTCGGCACGACATCGCCGAACGTCAACAACACCAAGCACATGATGGTCAATGGGCATATGGAGAGACCAACAGTCGTGTCGATATCTTCATAAGTATCAATATCTCCACACCCTAGTTGTAGATTCAGGGCCCCTTCAGAGTGATGACTTGTTTTCGTTGAGCAGTTCTCACAGACAAGATGAGACGACAATCGAGAAGAATGAGAATCGGCGGTTGGACATTTCATTCTTGTGCAGATAGATTGTTGTAATTAAGGTGATTGTAACTGATCGTCCTCCAAGTGCCTTTGTACATAATTCTGTTTTCTAAATGGAGCCCATGACGATTGGTCTGAAGAGTAGGAGCTCGATGATATTCATAAGGTTTTATTTTCATTTACTTTTGTTCAGTGGTTTATCGCTCACTTATTTACGTTTCTTTGCCAAAGAAATGCACAGCTCCTGGTAGCACCATACCAAATTTACGTTTTTCCTTCTGTACATAGCACGTTTTTTGCTAGTTTTTTTGGATATTTTTAAGATTTATAGAGGTAGATTGTTGTTTTAAGATATGAGATATTAAAAAGGATTTCGAGGCCAGTGGGATAATGGAAGAGATTGTTTCTTCTGTGGAGGAGAGGATCTGTTTCTTCTTTTATATTGTTGATGAATCATTGATCAATATAAAGACGAACATTGTTTTGCATCCTATCGATATATTGAGCTGTATCGAGTCGACAGTTATTTTTGAATAAAATGGGATATTTGAAAATATATTCGTCTGTATTTATTACTCTTCTTCGGGGAAGCGATGCTTGTCGTGGATTGTAATACCGAGCGGCACTTCAACAGATTTTCAGGAGTTTTCCTGGGAAATTCATCACCGACGGCCAGCAACATCAAGCACATCGTGGACAAAAAGATCATGCAGATAATTGTTGTAGTATGATGATTGTAACTGATCATCCTCCAAGTGCCTTTGTACATAATTCTGTTTCCTAAATGGAGCTCATGACGATTGGTCTGAAGAGTAGGAGCTTGATGATAGCCATAAGGTTTTACTTTCATTCACTTTTGTTCAGTGGTTTATCGCTCACTTATTTACGTTTCTTTGCCAAAGAAATGCACAGCTCCTGGTAGTGCCATACCAAATTTGCGTTTTTCCTTCTGTACATAACACGTTTTTTGCTATTTTTTTGTTGATATTTTTAAGATTTATAGAGGCAGATTGTTGTTTTAAGATATGAGATATGAAAAAGGATTTTTAGACCAGTGGGATGGTGGAAGAGATTACATCTTCTGTGGAGAGGACCTGTTTCTTCTTTTATGTTGTTGATGAATCATTGATGAACCCGTCAGCACTCGCGCTATATGACGTTCTCTTGCAAAAATTTTCGGGTATAGGGAACATAGTCAAAAAATTGAGATTTTGGACTGAAACTTATTGACTGCCTCAAGCAACTATCCTCTTTCCTCTAGGGTAAATAAAAACCGTCTAGCATATTCCAATAAATTAAAAAAAAATATTTTATCGAGCTCGGACGAGGAGCGTTGTGAGATTCTCTCGCAGCGCGAGGAAGGTCGATCATGTGGCACGCTCGCATCGGGTGGTTCCGTGAGGCGTTCGGTGATACTCGGCAACTAAACCAGTCCCATGGATCGCTCGGACCTCTCTGTCTAACTAGTGTGCGTGCATAGCACCAGAGATTCTCTCTTGGCGCGAGTAAAGGTGCTCGGTGAAATGGCGCGACATTGAAAGACGAACAACATTGTTTTGCATTCTGTCGATATATTGAGCTGTATCGAGTCGACAGTTGTTTTTGAATAAAATAGGATATTTGAAAATATTATTTGTCTGTTTATTGCTCGTTCTTGTGGAGTCGATTCTTGTTGCGGATTGTGATACCGAGCGACACTTTAATTGATTTCCAGAAATTTCCTGTCTCATAGGATCACAGTGTTATCAGTTGAAGCCCGCTGTATACTTTGTTGTCATGACACCACCCCTTTGATAACGGGGAATCCTCGAGATTCCACTGTGTGCTGAAAGCTGAAGCAGTTGGTTTATTTTTGGAAATTAAGAGTGCAGAGTTGAAAGATCTATGAATTGTAAAATTCAGGATGTACTCTCGATGAAATGGAATGAAGTTGAATTGAAGAGTTTAATTTATTCAATTCCAGATAAACGGTGTGCCTCGTTCAGTCGTTGGTGGAGAGATTAATGCAATATGAGATAAACTTCGAAGATTTTCAAGCTCATTCCTGGTAATTAAGTATGCAAAATCGAGAGAACTATAAATTTTGAAAACTCAAGTTTATTCTTATCCAATTAAAGAAGAAGTTGGAATAATGAGTTTATTTCCTCCAATCAAACACTGAATGCGTTATTAAAATGGAGTTGTTGTTTCGGTTCTCAAGTCCGAATCAATATTTTGTTGATGGAGAAACAAAAAACACGAGAATTTCTCCAAACAATTTCAAGAAGGAAGCAAAAATTTAACCTGAGGAAGGAAATTGTTAATTATGAATGATAAATGTAAACTTGAAGGTGGAGAACGCAGAGGCACGATTGACGGAATTATTTCGTCAATCAATTAATCCAACTGGGATGAATATGAAATTACTGCAAATATTCCCAAGAACAAGGCATTAGAATAAATAAATAAAAACACTGAAAATTCCGTAGAAATTACACATATCCAAATACTTTGTAATTTTTTTCGTCGAAATCTTCTCAAAAACTTGTAGTTGAACATCAGAGCTTCCACTCAGAGCCCATTTGACACTAAATTACCAAACATTCTGCAAAGATTTTATTATTCACACGTCGAAAATCTAAATTTAATTCTCCATTTCAACCCGAAGACATTTGAAAAGAGAAGGAAATATTTTGGAATTTGTCAAAATTTAGTAAATCGACGAAGAGGATGATTGAGAATAAATGATAAATGTAAACATGAAGGTGGAGAATTTCAGGAGGATAATTAATTATTCCGTCAATCAATTCGTCAAACTTGAATGAATATGAAATATTCAAAACATTAGAATGAATGAAAAAAATCGCTCAAAATTCCATAGAAATTAGACATATCCAAATACTTTGTAATTTTTTTCGTCGAAATCTTCTCAAAAACTTGTAGTTGAACATCAGAGCTTCCACTCAGAGCCCATTTGACACTAAATTACCAAACATTCTGCAAAGATTCTATTATTCACACGTCGAAAATCTAAATTTAATTCTCCATTTCAACCCGAAGACATTTGAAAAGAGAAGGAAATATTTTGGAATTTGTAAAAATTTAGTAAATCGACGACGAGGATGATTGAGAATAAATGATAAATGTTAACATGAAGATGGAGAAATCAGGACCATGAATTATTCTGTCCATAAATTCTTCAAATTAGCATGAATAAAAAAAATTCCTCAAAATCATGGAAATTGAGCATATCAAAATGATTTGCTATTGTCTTCGTTAAAATCCTTTCAAAAACTTGTAGTTGACTTTAACCCGAATACATTTAAAAAGAGAAGAAAATATTTTTGAATCTGTAAAAGTTTAGTAGATCATCGAATGAATGTGCGAATTTCTCAAAAGTAATTGCATGTCCCTCGGTACATGTCTGAAATAAATAATTATCAAAATGATCTCTAAAATTTGCCGGTCACTGCGTGCCCGCGATTAGCTCCAAAAGAAGAAAAACGAGAAAAAAAAAATCCTAAACCTTCCCGTATTCTCACCTAGGCGGCAGCATTGCCGTTTATTCACACCTTGTAGCGCACCTGTGTCAAGTAGACAGCGCAGCCCGTGTTACCACAAACACACGGTACCGAGAGAGCAAAGAGTCTCTCGTACCGAGCCTATCGCGTCAAGAAGGTACAACCAGATCGACTTACGATCACGAGACGGAAGAAATCGTCAAGTACTCCTCACCCATTTCATTTACTCAACAATCATTGGATATCACCCTGGGGTCAATCATCCTGGAGCACCGAGAGGACAGCCACCAGGTGAGTGGGTCCATTCTCACCGTAAATTGCGTAATTCCCCCAATCCCACCGCGATTAATTTACCCACGTAACAGAGCCGATGGAAGACATCTTTTTCGGTCTTCAGTCGACAAATAAAAAATAACAAATGGAATTTTTCAAGAATATTCCGCTCGCACGTGCGCGCTCTTATCGTCACTGGAATTTCGGGGCATTTGTTGTCGCCCGGAAAATCTCGGAATTTCTTATCTGATTGACGAAGAAAATTATTTTCCGAGAAATTTAAATCACATTTTTCCACATTTCAAACGTAATTCCAAGCTTCAATTTCACTACAGCTGTTTCTCCTCGTCTCCAACGGAATGAAAATTCGGTTTTACTCTTTCACTCAAAAAGTCTCTTCTCCGATCGCTCGAATGTTGGATGTTTTTTTTTCATTTATTTTGTATTCCATTGTCAATTTTACTGGGTCAAATCCACATTTTCGTTTCTATTTCCCGTCTCACTCCGCGACTGGCGTCAACGTGGTTCAATATTACCTCGAATGTGTGGCCCCGCACGTATTTCTCTTCTTTTCGTTATTTCGAGGGGGGAACAGGAGACGAATGGATCGCGATCGCGGACCAGACTGTTTGAAAAAACACACGACACACATTTTTTTATTATTCGATGTGCCTCTGACAGTTAAACTGGATTTCCGAAAAAAAAACCGCCGCATTTCACGCACTTTGAGTTGACATTTGTCTTATCACTTCGATTGACATATTCGGGATACTAAAGTTCACGATTATTCGTGTTGCACAGTCCTAATTCGATGATCGGCGAATCTTGTTGGCTGAGAAATTCGGGAATCGGTGGATTCTCGTGGCGACGGAACCGACGCCCCAGGTACGTCTGGCACGAAACTATCCGTCGCCAGGAGGTACCAGATAGCCCCTGGCGCAGATAATATTTTATTAATCATTAAACACATAACCGTTTGCTGTACATATAAGATAATGGAAATAATATCAGGCATTAGCGATAATGCTGTTTGTCGTACGCTAATTATTGGTCCGACTGACATTACAGCATTGTCGGCGTGAGGGAGAGGAGCTCATCGACGATTTCATCAGTCTCAATCGACTGGGAAATGTTTTGCCAGCAGTTGACAAGTTTCACTGCTGAAGTGGTTGAAAAATACAAAATTCAAGTTTTTAGATTTTATTGCACATCAAATTATCGAGTTAGCGAGTGAGTCTACGGTAGAATGTCAAAAGAGATTTTATGTAGATGAAAAAATTTCTTACAAAAATAGGAGTTGGACGTTTTGTCATAAATCCACTCGTTGTTAAGATAATTACGTAATCAACGAAATCAAAATGTCGAAATTCAGAGATTTTCCTTCTTGCTGGGTAAATAGTCGTGAAATTTACCACTTTTTAAATTTATTCACATAAGCAATTGAAAAATTCAGCAGTCTCAATCGACTGGATTTTGCCAGCAGTTGAAAATTTCCAAATGCAAATAATATTTGGGCTCTTTCACTGCTGAAGTAGTTGAAAAATACAAAATTCAAGTTTTTAGATTTTATTGCACATGAAATTATCAAGTTAGCGAGTGATTCTACGGTAGAATGTCAGACGAGATTTTATGTAGGTGAAAAAATTCCTTACAAAAATGGGAGTTGGACATTTTATCCTAAATCCACTCGTTATTAAGATAATTACGTAATCAACGAAATCAAAATATCGAAATTCAGAGATTTTGCTTTTTTTCTGGCACAAATAGTCGTGAAAGGTGAACTCT